TGAAAAGGCAACACTTTTAGGAACATATTATATAGCGTACAGTACAGTACTTACAAGTGCTGAAAGTCATTGCTTGCTGAACAGCTTTGTCAAAAGTCAGCTGTTTGACCGTCTTCATCCGTTTTCGGGCAGCCAAGTCGCGCATTCGCTTGACAATGAGAAGTTGCATGTGATCTGACGCTCCATCCACTTCAACGCAGTTTCAACGCCGGCAAACGCTTCACTAGCTGATGGTCCCGTGTCTGCTTCACCTTCGACGCTAAGATCATCTTCTTCCTCGACACTTTCTTCTCTCACGCTTTCAATACGTTCATCAGTATTTAGAATTTAAAACCCAGGGTCTGACGAATCATCCACCTGCTGTATCCTCAGCACTAACTCCTGAACATCCAGGAATTTTAAAAAGAATGTTTCTTAATTCCTCAAGTAACACGTCATCCTCATCTTCTGCTATGTTCTCTTAGATCCCTTTCCTTTACTTGAGCTTCTTTTTCGTTTTCCTTCTCTCCTTCAGTTGATTCTGAAAAATTGTGAAATTCTGAAAGCGATTCGGATAATCAGCGATTCGGAGTTCGGATAATTGGAGTTGTGCTGTATGTATGTTTCTCGCACTGTGGGAAAAAAAAAAAAAAAAAAAAAAAAGATACAGAGTCTCCTTGTTCTTTTTGGAGGCATACAACTTGGACTTCTTTATGTAGAAAAAGTCCAAGTTGTTCTCGTTATGTCTTGAAGACTCAATACGCAGAAGAAAGGTTTTAAATAACCATTTTACTATTTAAACTCAATTAAAACAGACGCACGCACTTCGTGCTCACAAATCACCACCACTTGTGGCTAACATAAAATTTAACAGAAAATAAGAATGTAACAATATCACTAATAAGATAATATATCTAACGATTGGCTCCTTAGCTTAAGTAACGCTAAATCGGCTGCACGTAACAAAGCCGAGCCTAGAAATATCAATATAAACATGAAAAGTGTCTAACACCGACCAGAGAGCTAGTTTCAAACACGCAGCATATTCTATTTGAGCTCTTGAAATACAGCTTAAATACTGATTCTGAAGCTCGTTTAGATTTGCACTTACATCATACCGGCAGGAAATACAAATCAGGAGAGAAAGGAAAGCAAGACTAAAAATAATTGGTTAGAATAAAATAAAGACCTTACAACATCAAATTTTGAATAACGTAGTCCTCCACTCGAATATGTGCATCTGGAAGACCAAATTTGGAATCTGGAATTTGTTTTATTATCTATTTCATATTTTATAAAACTTTAAGAGTTTTTGAGTAGCAAACTCAACGATTTCAACGCGAGCAGGGGCAACACTGTACTGGGAAAAAAATTATCTCCATCGCGCGAGACTGTGTAGCAGAAATTCTAAAGATATGCTCTTTTTAAATTTGCGAAATTGCTATTGAATTGAATTTTATGGTTTAAGTGTGAAGAACATGATATGTAATAAATATAGGTAACATAAAAAACGTTAAAAGAAAGCCCCTTTAGGCGTAATGTAAGAGCTGAAAGGCTTCAGATATTTTTAGTCCAAACAAGCAATTTGCTCTGAAGGACTATTAATTTCGTTTTGGCATTTTACGTTGAAAACTATAAATGGCGAATCATTTTTCAGGTTCTTGCCACCAAATATTATGGTCCTGTATTATATTTAAAGAAATTAAATAATGAAGAATCTGTATGAATATATGCATGTTTCTCGCAATGTGATAAAACAACGGCACCTAGAGCCATCAAAATTTGAATAACGTATTCTTCCTAATACGGACATGTGAGGCTCTAATTTAAATTTGAAATCTGTTTTATTATCGATTTCACATTTTTTAACACTTCAACGAATTTTTGATTAAAAATCTAAACGATTTCAAAGCGAGCAACGGCAACACAGTATTGCAAAAAAAAAAAAAAAAAAATTATCTACAGCGCGCGATACTCTATAGCGGAAATTCTAAAGATATGCTCGTTTTAAAATTATTTTGCGATATTGCTGTTGAACTGAATTTTATGGTTTTAGTACGTAGAACATGATATTTAATAAATAAAGCTAACACACAAAACATTAAAAAAACGCCCCTTTGGATGTCATTTAAAATCTGAAACCTTTCACATTTTTAACATTTTTTTTTAACTTATTATTAAAAGAGTTTCGTATTAACGTATTTCGGACCAAGCAGGTTTTAAAAAATTTTATCCGTATTATATGTGAAAGAAAAATGAAGTCGTTTTCCCTAACATTTTGTAACTAATATTTTCAAATAGAACTGAAAAACATAAATGTCAGAAAATAAATATGAGCCCTGTAAATAGTATAAATTTATTTTTCACTGGTAGTAGTTAATTAGTAAAAATTTATTTTTTTTAAATAGCATCAATTTATTTGAATAATTTAGGCATTCCTTTACATTCAATTGCTCATTTAAGAGATAATTTTTTTAATTATTTGCCAACTTCAATGAAAAAAGGAAAGAAAAGAAAGAAGCTAGGAGGAGGGGAGAAGGAACATGAATTACTTTAGAATTTCGTTCTTGCTGAAAGAAATTAGCATTACGCAAACGCAATTATCGTATTTTGACTCCATGTCATTATTTTCAGCGCAGCCACAGTTATAAACTATTTAGTCTCATAGCGCCATCTCGTGATCACATGATGTACTAAACAACTGCTGATAACTCCACAGCTTCTTATTAGTCTTTTAGACTGTGAAATGTAACTTTTGCATGGATCTAAATGAAATTTAAAGCAAATGTTATAAGAAATTTTCTAATTCATTTGCATAGTTTACTGATGAATTTTGTGAATCAAAAAAAAAGTTTATGAGGTTTGAAGTAGCATTATTAAAATAATTATAAGCATAAAATGGTTCAAGTATTATATATTTCATTTCAATGTATTTTCCGAGGTAATTTTAGTAAAATAATATATTTTAAACTTCATTTTGTTTTCCAAAATACGTGAAAATACCATAAAAACAAAGTGAGGGAAATTAAAGCTGAGCCGCTATAATATTTTAAAAGCAGACGATATTCTGCAGGTAGGAAAGTTAGAAACTAATTTTTAATGCAGCTATAGAATACATGTTGTATAGAAATATCTTTCATGAATTAATGAAATGTTGCAAATGCTCATAAAATAATTAGTCTCACAAAAGGGATTTCTTCCACAGATTCTTTGTCGTGAATTTTTCTAATTATTTTAACTTCCAGTTTATAATTTATAATTCTAAGTTAAAAGATTATATGCATTTCATTAATAAATAGCCCATGTTATTACAATTCCCTCGATTTTCAGAGCATTTTTCTTTGGGGAGTGGAAGAGACAATTAACGGACACCTATAAATAATTTCTTACTGATATTTCTAAAATTGAAAATGGCAATGGGATGAAACGAACTATGTCAAAAACGTATTACATGCGTTGTATGGTAAAATTCGAATTCCAAAATTTGAACACATTTTTAATAGTAAAAATATTTTCAATATCATCACAGCTGTTTATAACAAATTCATTAAAATAATGTATAGGTAAAATTTAAGCAGCTTTAATCCACAGTGGCTTGCAAAAGTGTTCGTACTCTTACAAGTTCCAGTGAAATATTGCTTTATTCATTCATAAAAATTAATATTTTAGAACAAAAGTTTTGCCACTCAGACGGTATAGTGGTTAGGGAAGCCTGACTGTGATATCGAAGGGCCCAGATTCATACCTCGGAGAAGACATGTGTGCAATTGTCTGTCCCTTCATAGGAGGCAAAGGTGGCCCCCCTATTAGGTACCTCTATAATAAAGAGACCAAGACCACTACATCTGGTCTTAGGAGTGGCCGATGCCGGCAAGTGCCCACTATTGGGGGAAAAAAAAAAGAACAATTTTTTTAATAATATCTATACATTTCTCTTAGCAAAACTACATTAATTATTTTATGAACATATTAAAACTTTTTTTTTTTTTTTTTTTTTTTTTTTTTTTGGAAAATCATTAATAAAAAGCAACAGAAAAGTTACCTCACGAAAGTCTTCGTATTTAATTTATTAAATATCGTAAACTTAATTTATGAAATATCATTTTCTTTGCACTCACGTCACATAAAATTCCATTCAACAGCAAAATCACAAAATATATAAAAACAGAATTTCTTTAAAATTTCCAACAGACAGTTTCGCATGTTGGCGGTAAAAATGTTTTATTCCGTACACTGTTGCCACTGCTCGCTTTGAGGTCACTGAGTTTGTTATACAAGAATTCATTATAGTTTCAAAAAAATGAAATATAAAATACTAAATTCAAAATTCTTTCGGATGGAAGGCAACGTTATTCAAAATTTAATGTCTCTAGGTTCTGTCATTTTTTCACAATGCGAGGAACATACATACATGCAGATTCTTCATTATTTAATTTTTTAAAATAATACAGGGCTACGATATTTGGTGACAACAATATGAAAAGTGATTCGCCGAGAAGACGAGGCGAAATCTTGTTTTCAGACTAATAGTAAACTGTTAATATATTTTTCTAAACTAGTAATGATTTCCAAATGTAGACAGTTCTAATAATGTATTTAAAGCAATAAATCACGTCAAAAAACATCAGTTTTCTAAATATCTAAAGAAACTTTCGAGAATATGCATTTTTATGTGAGTTTCCTGTTAATACTTTTTGAATAAATTATTTTATTACAAAAATATTTTAATGATATTAAGTTTGCAAAAACAAGACTCGAAATATAAAGAAAATATATTAGAAAAAACTGAAATCAATATTTCAACAATTATCGCAAGATGTATGCAAATAAATTTCAAAATACAAATATCCGAAAATAAATGTGAGTCGCTGTAATTAAAATACTAAGTAACAAACAAATATTAAATTTTAATATCAAACTTATTTTCATGCTGCCCTGTGTATATTTTAATAGTTTTACTGTTGATAAAAGCAATGTTTATTGGTTTGTGCTATTCCATTTATATGAATAAAGGACTAGAATTTGATTCTTAAGAAATATTTATCTGATAAACTATAGAAAATAAAATAATTATATAAATAAATATATTATTCTTTTTATACAATGCCTCTATCTCGTTCTCTTCCAAGAACGTATTCAAAGTAATTGAGATATCCATCTTGATCCAGGTCTTCCTCTCGTAAAATTTCGTCGATAAACTCTGTGAAATAAAAACTTAGTTTTACAAACATGTTAAATGACATTTTTAATAATAAAAAGATTAAGTCTGAAAGCTTTCAGATTTTACATTACGCCCAAAGGAGCATTTTTAACGCTTTGTGTGCTACCTTTATATATTAAATATCATATTCTTCGCACTCCCACCATAAAATTCAAGTCAACAACAATATCGCATGAGCATATTGTAAGATATGCACACCTCTGTCAAACATTTGCTTAAAAAGAAGAACTTTCTGTTTGTCCAGAGACTAGTTGTCAGTTAGAACTTTGAGGAAAGGTGGTGCGGAAATCCCCTGGTGCGGTTTCCGGACACAAGGGACGTCGTAAATTACCCCATTCGAAGGTATTTCCGACAAGACGTTTAACAAAACGAAAGAGAGGCCTTTTGTGAGATCTTTTTATGCAGTGAACGAGTTGAAAGAAGACGCAACCAGCGTCGTCGCCGCATCCAGCGGCGGCCTTTGTTTTGTATTATGGCTGAATGATTTTTTTTAACCTTACAGTATTGCCATTGCTCGCTTTAAAATCGTTGAGTTTGTTAATCAAAAATTCGTTAAAGTGTTACAAAATATGAAATTGATAATAAAACAAATATCAAATTCCAAATTCGGGCTTCCAGATGCCTATATTTGGGTCTAGACGTACATTATTTAAAATTGGATGGATTTCTTTAAATATAACACAAGGCTCTAATATTTGGTGGCAACAAATTTGAAAAGTGAACCGACATTTATAGTGAACCAACACAAAATGCCAAAACGAAATTAATAACTCTTTTAGGCTAACACCCTTTGGGCTAATAAATGTGTTTTTAGCATCGGTTTCTTCGCTTTCTGAACATATCTGTTCACGAAAAAAGATCTAAAATACGTTTAATTATAATATGTTTTTCAAAAAGAAAAATTGTTTGATACCTTCGTTATTTTATATATTCACCATCTTCCATTTAGAAAAAGAGATTTTTTATATTTTCGTCATTGCCACATTTAAAATAAAGAATTTTTTTATATCTTTATCATTTCTATTAAAAAGAAAAAAAATTTTGTTTGATTTTTTACTTCCTTGTACAAAGTAAAAGAAGTAATGTAATCGCGAAAAATTTCGGGTATCATATTTCAACGAAAATATCCATTTTGACCTCTCTTGAACCCATCTGAATTATTTTTTTGCTTAGCATCTCTACGTAGGAGCAGAATAAAGGACTCTTTTTCTCAAAACGGATTTTAAAATGCATTTGAAATGGATTCGGAAGAGATTTTTTTCGTGATATCTTCCTATGCAAAACGCTCTTTCTTCTTTTTTTCTGAACACTTTATTTTTCTAAAATAGTGAAATATTTTTATTATTTTAAACGAAATGCAGGTACAGCTCACACTTGTTATTTTAAAACGAGCAACAAACAACGCATTATAGTCTTTTATTATATTACAAGCCCTTCGACCTTGAAGTATTATTAATTCGGCCACTAAACTGCAATAATAAAATGGTAAGTTACATCAAAAGAAACTAATGTTATGGACTTTTATTTGGCTCGACTCCTGATATCGCTCATCGAGAACAAATGTCGGAAATCTTTAGGTATGTTGGGTATTGATTTTACCATCAGAAAAGTTTCTATCAAAAAATCTTTTTGGAGATTTATTGAAGTACATGCTAAAGATGCAGCCTCAATTGAAGATATAATTTAGAAAAATTAAATTCCGATCAGATTTCATTATTAACAAACGTTACAATCGGAATTAAAAAATGCTTTAGAAACAACTGTTAAACCTGACTCTGAAACAAAATAGATTGCCAGATCACAAGCGGTTAGTGTTGGAAGAAATTAGTAGAACTACTGGATAATTAGCAGACGACAGTTCTGCCCAATTGACACCAGAAGTGAAGCTGCAATTTTATTACAAAATACACTGACTTTTAATTTCATAATTCAATTCCATTTCTGGCTTGAAATCTTGAGGAGGATTAATCGTGTGCAGCTCAAATTACAAGATCTTAAAATGAATTTTAGAGAAGCAAAGATTCATCTTGAATCATTAGCAACTGAACTTGCAGAAGTTCGAGATGAGATCTGTGAAAAGATAATGTCTCTGCGAAAAATCGGGTATTAGTACAACAATCCGTGTTAGAATACGAGGAAAAATGCCCGGAGAATTGACTAGAGATAAATTTTGATAATTGTCTAGAAAAAAGAAATTTTGATATTGGCATAATAATGAGCAAGGGGATAAATGTATATGTATCACCTACACAGAATACGTGTTGGCATATGAGCGTGACGGGCATATGCCTGCCCTCAGAAAGTGAAATTTCTCGAGTTATGAAAAGCGTTGCTGATCATCTGCAGAAGGAAATAAGTACACGATTTACATGACTAAGTGATCTTAATTCCAAATTCGGATATTTGTTGAATGTTGAAAATTTATTAAGCAAGAATAATGTTCATAATGATCTTGAAAAGAATTGTAAAAAATCGAGTGAATTTTATAATACAGACTTTAATGGAACAGAACTCTATGTCGAAATATTTTGCTCAAAACAGTTAGGGATATTAGGATTTTGGATATAACTGTGGATGAGGAAATGTTTTGGTGAATGATATATGATGTATAGGTGTTGTAAGATATAAGAAAAGGAAAAGGAGCAATAAACAAGGAATAATTAAAATTATTTTGACAAAATGTGTCAGTAAACAAAAAATGTACAATTTATGCACATTATACAAATAAACCAAAAATGTGTTTTCTCCGTTACAAATAAGTTTCAATAAGAGGTATGTTTTCCCTGATCAAAAGCAATGTCGCTCACCTACGAGGCATGGAATGAACGATGTTATCGATGAGAAACTGGGGTATTCTCTCCCAGTCCTATAGAAGACAGCTTTTTAACTCCTGAATTATTTTTGGAAGTTATGAGAGACTAGCAACCCTTCTGCCTAGAATGTCCCAAACATGTTCTATTGGATTCATAACTGAGAAACATACTGACCAAGCCATTCGAAGGATTCCTTTGTCAAAACGAAAATTATTCATTAGCTGAGCCGGATGGGGCCTGGCGTTATCGTCCATGAGAATGAATTCATTCGCGACTGCTACAGCGTAAAGGAGCACAATTGGTCTGAGGATCTCTTCCTTATATCGCTGAGCCGTTAGTGCTCTCTTCCTGATAATGTGCAGGTCGGTACGGCCATTGACAGAAATATCGGAGAAGATCATCACTCCGCCTCAGCCAAATAAAGCACTCTCATGCACAAATGGAGGAGTATTACGTGCGATGCTCTCTCTAGATGAGAATCTACCTAATGTGAGGTTGTACACTGTAGTTGGACTCTCCCGTAAGCATGTTGCTCCTCTCATCTCGTCCCCATATGAGATGCTCCTGTACCCACCTTCTACCGACAGCACGATGGACCTGTGTCAACGAAACACAAACCTGAAAACATAAAAACCACATGGTGGAAATGGTTTCGAATAGCTTGAGTCGAAACTCTGGTACCAGTAACCCTCTAGAGGTGCTTTTGCTAGAAAGTGGCGTTCATAGTGGGGTTTATTCTGTCCCTAAATATTAAATACCGACCTTGACCCGATCTTCGGCAAATATTTCCAGTTCCCAAAAACCTATTCCATAGTCTGGAAATGACATTTTGAGAAACTCTTAACGCTTCCGCTACAGTGGATTGCGTTTGACCCTCTTGTAAACGACCGATGGCCATCCAGGCTACCGATTCAACTAAGTCATCTTGCTGAGACATCGTATTCACTGCTACAAAACATTCAACGCGTGTCAGTTGTTTTTAATCTCCTACTTCAAAAGGAATGCTGCTAGAAGCTTTTCACTCCTTATCTAAAAAGCATAGTTTACGATGTCACAGACTAAATTTGAATATTTCCAACTTTATAAACGTTATAATTATCCTTTATACCTCTTCTATTTCCTTTTGTTAAAAGAGTTGTCGATTATATGGTTGTTTCATACCGAAATCAAAATATCACCTAATTGTTTTGAGCACGGTATGTGATTGCAAGATGTTACTCCTCAGCAGAAAACAAACTGAACCTAAAACACCATTATATATCTTATCTTTATAATATCGCATGGAGAAAACTTTTTTTCAAACCTAAGAGTCGCACTTCAAATACTCCTTATTCGTTCGTTATCAAATAGTCAATGCTGGCTATGAAAGTTCGTTCAGCAAATTAAAATTAATTTTGACATATTTACAATCAACGATGAAACAAGATTGCCTAAGTGATCTAACATTTTTAAATGCGGAAAGAGAAAGTTTAAAATGATCAACTTTGATGAAGCTGTAGAGTCATTAGGTTACTTCGAAGCCGGAGAGATGAAGATGAAAAATGAGCAACGCCCTCGCCGGGAATCGAACCACGGAACTCAGAAATACGCGCCCAGCGTGCAGACCGTTACACCACGAAGAAACGCTAAGAAGGCGGGAGAAATACCTTATAAAGTAACTGATAAATTTGCTTCATCCAAGGGAAGAAAAATGTATACATAGTAATTAATTGTATTAATAAATTATATCTACTAATCTATAACATATATATTAAACATTTTATTATTTTAAAATTGTACGTTTTTTAAAACAGTTACTTAAATATGTAAAATAAATAATACCTTTTAATTAATTCTAGATCATCGTCTGGTTTTTCCACCAACACAGATACATTATTGAACAAAATGCTAGTCTTGATATTTTTTACTACAGTTTTTGCCTCAAATTTAAAGTCTAACAAGAGTTTGTTATCAAGAAAAACTGCATAGCATTTCGTAGAAGTGCAGTTAGGTAGTGACTATTCTTAATGCATTTTCGAGTATTTTAAGGCAGATTCAGCTTATTATTATTATTTGCATTATTTCATTATTACAAGTAAACTCTATGCATTATATTACTGTAAGCGTTTGGGGGGCGACAGGGCGCCAAAAAGTTATTTTGGTCCAGTTATGCACCAGTTATGCTCGCTACTCCACTAGAAAAGCAACAACGACAAAGTCATTGGGAAGATAAAATTCCGCCAATTTTGATATTTAAATATGTAGACGAAGTTATTCAGTGTACTGAGTTAGTCTTTAATGAGGGAATAAATTGGCGCAGAACACTGGTATGGCTTCCAAACAATGGGATATTAGACATAAAGTCAGTATCACTATGCTTCTGTTATTAAAACTGCAAACTTTAATAATACCACTTAAACCACAGCAGGGTTATTCATCCGTTAAAAAATGCTTTACTTTAATTTTACTAAACTTAAAATGTATTTCTCGCAAAATATTTCATATGTTCTATGCTCTCGATTTTCTCATTTTTCCCTCAAAAAATTATTTAAATCACTTTTATTTTTGTGTGTGGTGCTTGATTAATCATTGATGTGCAATGGCCATTAGGAACTGCTTATATTATTCACTTCCTCATTCTCATATTTCTATAAATATTATTCGCGGGACTCACCTGCATCTTCTTCGAACTTTTCATTCCACCATGTCTGAAGGGCGATACGAGCTTCAGGCGAATCTTGGAGATCCCTATGAGTAATTTCATTCTCTCTTTCTCTGACATGATTCATGGCAGCAAGTAGCTCCAGACCATCCAGGCGTTTATCATCGTTCATGTCATGTAATCTACAAACATAAGTGAGGAGAAACCTATTTTTAGTAGTTATTCCTTACTAAATAGTAAATATTACATTTGAATGATAATCGATTAACCTAGCAAACCAGCTATAAGGGAACCTTGGTCATTTTGCTATATTTCTTGGGACTAAATAAATGATCATAAGCTGTGACAATTTGCATAATTTTATATAACTTCGAACTTAGTTATGAGCTCTTTCTCTCCAGAGAGTTATGCAGATTTTGAGAAGAGCGTAAGGATTTAAGCAGTTCACTAGAAGCGATAGTCGGCCGATCAATCGGCGGTTGTTTCATGTCAGATACTGTCTGAATTGAAGTCTACCTGATAATAAGCGTCATAAGCGTGTTACGTCATAAGAATGAAACCACTGAAAGCAGTAGCCGTGGGTTGGAATAAGAAATGCTGGAGTAAGTAATGATGAGAAAATTTCCTGTCTAAATCGGTAAGCTAAAGATTTTATCGCTAGCTTGATGAAAAGTAGTGAACTGTGGTTCCTTATAGAATTATCCTTAAAATGTGACTTTTAGATTCGTCAAGTTTCAGTTCGTCTGCTATCTTTATATTTTGGTTTGTAATGCTCAAGAAAAGACTCACTCAGTTTCGCAGTCTGTAGTCCTCAGACCACAAGTGCTCCTTGAATCCTGCTCTAAAGTCCCCCACTCCCCCCAAAAAAAATTCCAAAAAAAGATTTAAAAAATAAAATTTTAATTAATTGCATACACCCCACTATAGCTGAAAATCTCAAAGTTTGGAAATTACACATGGCAGTCGTCTATCATTGTACCTCCCAAGACTGACATTTTATGAATCACCCACCTATCACCTCCCAAGACTGACATTTTATGAAATTCATGATCAACTACCCCGTCTAAGGACTTCCCACTCTAGTCTTAGTAACAAAAGAGGGCTTAAAGCTCTGTTACTGTGTTTCTTCTTTCAAGCATACACCTTAGAGCAGCTATACAACAAGAGAAGGCTCATTCATCTCATTAATGTAACAAATATTTATTGAATTTTTAGTGAATAAGGTAAAGATTATCCAAACTCTAATGATCTTGAATTATTAAAGACAAATATAAAGTTTCGTCTATTAACTTATTATTTAACATAACATAAAATTATTTAGATTTTAAAAAATTGGGTTTTAAAAAATATAAGTATGCTGGTAACAAAAAAATATATTATTTTCGATTTTGAAGATGGTCCGCAAAACATTCGAATTTATAAAAATGGTTCTCACCTCTGAAAAAAAATCTGAGAAACTTTGCCATAATACCATTCTAATGTTAAAGTATTAGAAACTTACCAATTTGTTCTTTGTTCTTGGCAGTGCGTAGTCAAATTTATTTTATCTTTAACACAATTAACTAATTTTACAGCTTTTGCAAGCTATTGTAATTTAATGAGGTGCATACCGCAAGAGAAGAATAGGAAGAATGACCTTGTTTGTTTACATAAGCTATTACATAAATCACAAGATCTCTGAGGTCATCTACCTTGTTTGTTTACATTAGCTATGCATAAGTCACGTGATCTCTGACGTCATCGGAATCTACCCATGAACCTTATAAGAAATAGACTAACCCAAACGGGTTTTCTCCCTCGTCAGAGCCGTTGCCGGCTGTCACCTTGATCACATCCGGAGGAGTAGGGACGAATTGCAGAAATTTAACAGTGGTTGCCTATTGCAGAGTGTATAATTGTCAAGAAAAAGCTGGTTGTAGCGCCTCATTTCACAAATTAGAATTTCTCCATATTTTTATATTTTTAAACTGAGATTGATTTTAAAAATTTAGCATATTTATCAAGCATAATTAGCGTTCCAATAATTATAGAGGTATTGCATGCTTTCAGGACTGGATATTTTTTTAGCTTTTCCTATGCTTGTAAGGAAATTTGTAACTACTTCTTTTTTAAAAATAATATTTTAAATCTGAACTGATAGAACAATTTCAAAACAATTTTCTCTTGAATTTTTTATGCTTTTTTTGGTGTAAATAAGTAACCAATCTAAAAATATTTAAAAACGAATTTTGAAAGTTTTTGTTTAAAATTCTAAATTGTGCTGCTTTTTTAAACTTACAGATGAGTATGATAACACAATTTCTATAAGGAATTTTATTTAAATTATTTTTCGTAATACTCATACTGATAAACACTTTTGACTCCTTAATTTTTATACATTTATTTAATTCTAATATTAAATTGTATTTAACCGTAATAATTTTGCTTGTATTTTTATTGTATTTTTGATTTTTAATTTAATTTAGTTTTGCATAAGATTTTTTTTTATTTGCTGTTAATTAATTTATGGCTCGAAGCGGCATTTTGCGCGTTTCACTATAAATGCCGTTCCTCCTTGCAAATTGTTGTTACTAAATATTATCGCCCTATATTATATTAAAGAAATTATATAATGAAGAATTTGAATGAATACATGTATGTTTTCTCACACTGTGACAAAAACGACGGTATCTAGTGTCAGCAATTTTGAATATGTAATCCTCCACCCCGAACATGGGCATCTGGACGGTCGAATTGTTTTTAATCTATTTCATATTTTGTAAACTTTAACGAATTTTTGATTTACAAACTCAACGAGTTCAAAGCGAGCAATGGTAATACTGTACGGAAAATAACATTTTTATCTCCAGTGCGGAAATTCTAAAGATATGCTGTTTTCAAATGTATGTGGTTTACGGGCGAAGAACATGATATTCAATAAAATAAGTAACACAGAAAATGTTAAAAAAGGGTTCCTTTTGGGCATAATATAAAATCTGAGTGCTTCTAGATTTTATTTTATCTTTTTTTTCCTTCATTACGCTCAGAAAATTTTATGCTCCGAATTTTATGAATTATTAAAATAACTAATCCACTTTAATGTTAATAATTAATGATCATATAATCAAATATAGTTTTGAAAATCACTGCCTGAAATGTTCATTATATTAAAAAAAAATTATCATATCTTGTTTAATTTTACCTTATTTATTTCAAAGCATCGCGTACTATCAATCTTATTTAATTTTAGTTTATTTTTACGCAAAATTAAGTTCATAAATTTTGTGCTTAGAGTTTTTACCGTTTTACCAATGTAAAGATGTTCGTACAAGAGTTACGCGTAAAAAAAAATGGGCGAAATGCAGTAAAGAGTGCTTTAATGAGATATATTAAATCCTATTTGGAAAAAACTGTGGCTTTTATAATCTCATCACTATACAACGAGTACGTAACTGAGAGTACGATTGATTTAAATTATATATTTATTTGTTTTAAAGTCTGTTAAAAATTTTCAATTTCTAAATGCTTGCTTTTGTTCTTGTGTCTAACCGTATACTTACGGATTTATCATTTTCAGATTATCATTTTGCCTTTGTTTACTTTGCGAACTTATGGGGACGTTTAACTCTAAGGTTGCCTAAAATTTAGCGACAAACGTAAACGCATCATTTTGATGCATGCACGCATCATCATCATCATCATCATTTCTCCTAATAGAAAAGTTTTGTCATAATTAGTTTTAAAAATAGCTCTTATTCTTATATAACTTGAAAATAGGAAATAAAATTTCGAAAATTTTCATTTCATCTCAAAATAATAAATAATTTCGACCTAAAGCGAAACAAGAGATCATAGAGAAATGTCGCATTCTGAAATATATTGTAATTCCAGAATGAATACTCCACCAAAGCACTTTAAACAATTTAAGTCTTTCGAAGTTACTTATTATGCTGATGTTACTTTTATTGTGTCATTTAAAAATTAGCTGCAATTTTATTTCTAGAAGAATAGTTAAAAAAAACTGCAGATGGCGAGGCAAAATTTTATTCAATTCCAATATTCTAACAGCAATTAATGGTCAAAAAAATTCTCAAAGCCTAAAAAACTAACTGCAAATAAAGGCCTAATAGCATTGTACATCATCTTAATCTAATTACTGAGGTGACCATCGGATTAAAATCAAATGTTCAAGAATGCTGAAATCCGATATCTGAACACTTATTAGAAAATGTAATTCAAATTCAGAATGAATGGAATAGCTATATACTGAGTTTAGTTTTATTCCAAATCTTAAAATCTGAGCTGTATTTGAATGAGGAAATAAAAATATCTGAAAACTAAAGTTGTTCTAATAAATAACTTTTTACTGAAAGAATAGTAAACGTAAATTTGGTTAATAGAATAAAGAACAGTTTACGTGAAAAGGAATTGTAAGCATTTAATTGCGCAATAATTATGTTTCTTGAGGAATAGATAAATAATTTAAGCATTCTTAATCAAACGCTTAGATTGACAAAAATACAGAGTAGTTAAAATCGGAATCTAGCGGGCAAAATTACTTACCGAAATAGAAGTGTAGGGGAAAAGAACGTGATACTTTTTATAGATTATTTAATTACTTTATACGTGCTCCAAATAAAATGGTGCAGAGAATTTTTATGGCTTGAGAAAAGGGATATAATTTTTGAATCCGTGATTAAAAATTAATTTCTCAGAATTTAAGAATAATTAACACCAAAATTTAAAATAAAAATGTTTTCCGAATTATAGACATAAAAAATTTCATATACGTTTCTTCTTACACATTATTTAGCAACTATTTTACGCTTGTGTGCCTGGGAAAAAATATATCCCCAGCAAAATGGCGCAGACGGAATTTTAGTTGGGTAAAAACAAAAATTTCATGAAAAAAAATTTTTTATCGAATTATAAATATAAGTAAATATTTATATTTGTACCTTTTTATATGTTATTTGATTATATTATACTTGTGTCCCTGTAAACGAAAATACATTTCCTTAAAATCGCCCAGGGGGACTTTGCTTCTTGAGAAAAGGAGTCTTTGGGGAATTTTGTAAGGCTTTGAATTTTTCCTGAGATTCTATTAAAGAATGACATTTTTACCAAGTTGAATTTGTATAAAAAAAAAATAAGGTTAAATTATTCTTAATTTTAGACTTGATGTTCTTGCATATGCAAAGAAACAAATTCTGTTCATCTCAATAAAATAAATTATTGAATCATTTAATTAATTTTTGCTGCACTTCCACTGTAACTATTGCTAGGACAAATGTTGTTGACTTTTATCATTTACAAAATTGTTGGAGTTAGCAAAGTTCATAACTTGGAAATACTGGTTTTTAGCCTAAATGTGTACTTGGCAAAAAGACTCTGAACTTGGTGCATCAATTGATTTAATTCACTATACTACTAAGTTTCAAATGTAAACAAATAGCAGCTCCGTTACGCCTGGCGTGACTTACACATTCAAATTGCTAATAATCCACAACAGTTATTTGCAGAGTAACTAAAGGTATAACATCCCCAACCGGAAAATAAGAACATCATTCAATTTTTGAAAAATGAGTCCTTTATTCTGTCCGCACTTATAAATGTTAAGCAAAATAATCCTTCAAATGGATTTGAGAGCGGTCAAAATGGATATTTTCTTTGAAATATGATACTCGAAATTTTTCGCGGTTATAATACTTCCTTTACTTTGTACAAGGAAGTGAAAATAAAGTAATTTTAATACTCTAAACGCAGCTTCTCATCTCTATTATTATTAGCTGGACTCGTGAACTAATATTAACTTAAATTATTAAAAGTAATTTTTATATATATTTTCTAACCGTTTTTTCATTGTTTCATATTGGTGTTTAATTAGAGGTTCTCGCAAAGTTTTGTGTTAAGATAATTTTGAAATTTCAAAGAATTTTTCACTGTATGATTTAAATTTTTCTATTTTAAGGGTAAGTTTTCATTTTTTTTAAGCATTCATTTTACATTAATAAAATCTTTTTAAATTGGAAGATGCTTTTAATTATTTTGTTCTTTTTGCCATTTTCCTTTAACTGATGTTTGATAAGAGGTTCTCGGAAAGTTTTGTGTTAAGACAATTTTGAAACTTCAAAGATTTTTTCACTGCAGGGTTTTAGTTTTTTACATTTAAAGGGTAAGTTTTCATTTGCATTAAAGATTCTTTTATATTAGAAAAATCTTTTTTAAAATTGGAAGATATTTTTAATGGTTTTATATTGTATTTTTGTCATTTTCCTTCGCTTTGAGGAGGACCAGAATTTTCGGGTGAACTATTATAATTTTAAAAATACATTGAATTGGTTCATCAGCTAATTCTGGATACAGAAAAATAAGAATTTTGCTTTGGAAGGGGAAGCGTAATTAAGTTCGACAAACCTCCTCCTGGCGACGTTATGTCGAAGATGATTGGATACCTCTTCTTTCTTGTTTCTTTATATTATTTTTTTGGTTTTTCTTGTGATGGTTTATTTTAATTTTTACATTTTAAAATATTCTTATTCTACATTTATAGGATTTTATGAAGTTCATTTGAATTTCAATTTTTAGCCTTTGTGAAAAATTGGTTCTAAATTTCTTTCTTTAGATGTATAATAAGAAAAAAATTTTTTTTAAACAAAATATAAACATGCCTAGTGTTTTCGCACAATTTTTGGTTTGCTGAAAAATTATCATTAAAGACATAAAGTAAAGAAATTTAGAACTAATATTTCACAAAGATCAAAAATTGAAACTGATAATTAATAAATTTCAAATAATCCAATAAATGCAACAAAAAATTTTAAAATGTTAAAAAAAAAAACTTTTTAATCAAGATAAACCCCATTTAAAAAATTTTATGAAATTTAAATAAACAAAACAGAAGAGAAATTCAGTCAACTTAATGCCATTTCGTTGGAGGAGGAACATTGAAGATAACTGAAATCGCTCTTCTACAAAAATCCTTGCTTTTCTGTATCCAGAATCAGCCGATGAACCACTTCAATATATTTTAATTAAAATAGTTCACCCGAAAATTCTGTTCCTTCCCCAAAGCAAGGACCCCCCCCAGCGGCCAAGCGGCAAACACGCTGAACACTGGTAGTTAGGTCCGAGGTTCGAATCCCGCGAACGGGCTGGTTGCATGGGCGTTTTCGTGGTTTCCCCTCTTTTGTGTAACGTATATACGAGCCAGTTTCCCTTAGAAAGTCCTTCACGAAGGCATCCCTTCCTTTAGGCAGATAGCCCTCGTGTTGCTTTGCCATAATTGAATAATCCAATCCAATCCAATCCCCAAAGCAAGGAAAAAACAGAGTAAATTCTAATTAGAATCCTGTACCTTAAGTAAAGAGAATTTTATTTTATTTAAAGAATTGAAAACAGAAGTGAAATAATAAAATATTTCAGTGAAAATTTAAATCAAAATTTCTTACATTTAAACATAAGGCATACAATCCAAAAAATTTAAAATGTTAGTGAAATTATAAAACACAGTTGAGAACAAACATTAAACATAGTTGAAAATTATAAAACATTGTTTTAATTAGGTCTTTTCAACTATGTTTTATAATTTCACTAACAATTTTAATTCTTTGGATTATATGCTTTATGTTAAAAGGTAAAAAATTTTGATTTACATTTTTCACTGAAATATCACAAGCGACTAGCAATGGAAAAAATTATACTACTGCGGCATTAAAGTATATAATTTTGTAAATAAGAAAACAGAAAAACAGTTTCATAACATTCTATTTGCAATGAAACAAATACTAAAATAAGAGACGAAATTTTGAAATTGAAGCAATAAATGTAAGATAATCTAATGTAAGATAGCCAGATTTATTGCTTCAAATATTAGAATAGCAAAAATAACTTACTGAAAATAAAATATTTCCATTTCTATATCTTGCAGTTTATCTGCAAAATCCTTGTTGTATAGCTCCTGAACATCCTCTTTAATATGTCTGAAAGAAGGCACCAATCAATAAATTTAGTTTTACACTGCAATTAATTTCAGTCTGTGGTTTTTAAATCAACACTCACTTTCCATTTATTTTACCTTCACCGATATCACTTTATAAAAATTATTAAATTTAATGCTGGGACATTGCATTGCACTATACTTAAGACTAACAGTTTAGTATTGCCATTTGTTATAATGTAGTAACTTTAAACCTACACTTTTTAATCAAATATCAATTTAAAATTTATTTTACACTTAAATATGTCAAAATATTATGTTTAATAGACTAATTAGTTACCAAAAAATGAAATCCACGGAAAAGATTAGGAGAACAGTGTTCCTAATCTTTCATTTAGAAATATCGAATCCTTTTTCTACTTTTCAAAATGTGATTTATGTTCAGGAGCTGTTAATCATCGATTTTGATCTATCAAAAATCATACTATTTCGAAAATATTAGATCTATTCCAAAACATTCATTAAAAATTAACCCACTCCTTATGTTTTTATAATACAAATTATAACGATTTTTATGACTACGTTAGCAGCACAGAAAAAAAATTTACTAATTTTTCCAATTTTATCTAATATCTCTCCATAATAAAGCTAGCTTAAAATCCATGCCATGATGCAGCGTTGTCGCGCGGTGGGACGTTCCATAGTTGCTGCCGAATTGTCCCTAACGTGTCAGTATATACGAGGGCTATCCAGAAGTTACGTTTTGGAATAAAAAAATAAACAAAGTATAGGAAACAAATTTTATTATATACAGATGAAAGCCACACTCAATACTACTTTTCTACATAGTCACCATACAAATTAAGGCATTTATCGTAGCGATGTACGAGCTTGGAAATTCCTTCGTCGAAAAATTCGGCCGCCTGCGCCTTCAACCACTTCGTTACCTCTTCTTGCAGCTGTGCGTCGTCATCAAACGCATTGATTGCAATTTCGTTTCACAGTTCACATGTTCACCCATGTTTCGTCACCAGTAACGATGCGATCGAGTAAGAGTCACCATCCTTATGGTAAGCGTCCAAAAAGTTCAACGCTGCAGCCATTCGCTGATTTTTGTGGTCCTCTGTCAAGATTTTTGGAATCCATCTTGCACAAAACTTGTGGTAACCAAGCTTTTCGCTGATGATTTCGTGCAACAAACTTCGCGAAATTTGTGGAAAACTCAAAGAAAGTTCCGTTATTGTGAAATTTCGATTTTCACGGACTTTAAGCATCGACTTTTTCGAGAAGTTCGGCGGTCACTATGCTGGGTCCCACTTCGATCTTCGTCGTGAACATTGGTTCGGGCCATTTTGAAATCTTATCCCACGACGCACACCACCTTCAGTGATAATGTTGTCCCCATACACTTCACGAAGCTGCCGATAGATTTCTATCGTTTTACAGTTTTTTGCAGTCAGAAACCTTATTACTGAGCGCACCTCGCAGCTCGCGGATTTTCAATTAACGCAGACATTTCAAAACCGTCACGTATCTGAACGGAGCACAGCACGAACCTCTCACTAGCACGGCTAGATGCAGACTGAGCTGCGCAACGCTCTGACCCCAAGATGGCCGCGCTAGCCCCGCCCCTAGCGGACCATGACGGAACGTATCTCTTCCTGATGCCCTCGTCATTGCCTAAGCAACAAATGGATACCGGGAGAAATTTTACCATATCGAGTATTCTAGGGTGTTAAGCCTAACTTGGATTTAAATTATTAAGGTATTTGCTTCTGTATTTATTAAAAGAATGGATCCGTTAATATAAGGAATTTCGTTTCAATCTACCATTGGTATATATATGTGTAAAGTAATCACGTATCGTTAGGTAAATGTATCGTGGTGTGTGTGTGTGTTCTGGCAAAGCCTCGAGGGCTATCTGCCAAGGGAGGGAGCCTTCGTGGAGGACTTTCTAAGGGAAACTGGCTCGTATACACGTTACACATGGGAAAACCACGAAAACGCCCATGCAGCCAGCCCTTTCGCGGGATTCGAACCTCGGACCGAACTACCAGTGTTCAGCGAATTTACCGCTCGGCCGCTGGTGGGCCCAATTATGTATCGAATTGTATGGTTAATAATTATGCATCGAATTGTATGCTAAATATTCACGTAATTTTTAAAATCTCCATTTTATTACTTTTTGATTAATTTTATAACTTGGAACTTTTAACTTCATACGTATATAGCAGAAAACGAAAGTATTTAATTTAATATATTTTGGTACTATAAGTTTTTGTAAAGAGACTGTGAAGGGAATAAATATGCTTATTTTTTTTAATTGTAATATAAAGTGCATAGTTTTGCATAAAATAAGAAATGAAATTCCCAATGCATGAAAATTGAAATATTATTAAACCTTATGCCACTAAGATTCCTCCCCCCCCCGAGTGTGAAATAAAGACACATATGCTTGATATTTACTTGATGCTGATGCTCAATTTTGACGACCTGTTTTGTTAAAAATTTAATTGCATTACAGGAAATCTTACTTTTATTACTTTATAAAATTAATTTAATCAGGTCTATTTTTACATTTGCCAGATTTAGGTCTGTGAATTACATTTCCATGAGAAAGATTTCAACATGTTTCTGCGAAATACGATAAAAAAAAAGGGGGTGGAGAAAATCGAAGTAACATTAAAACAAGTACGATTGAAAGGAAATGATGTTCCCTCAATTTTCAGTGTTTTTCCCCAAATATTTGTTAAATATAAAGTTATTTCATATACAGCCGCTGAAGAGAGAAGGAAAAATGAGCAGCTATTTGTACTTAATGCTAATTTATATGAAAAATCTACAATTTGAATGTAACAAAAATAAGCACATTTCGAGAATGTTATTAAAATACTTGGTAAAATAAGAGCAGAAGGAAAAATAAAAAAAAACTTTGAATTTCATTACGGGAGGAGAGAAGGATGGAGTGTTAATGCAAGGAACGTCCGGTATCCTATTATGACATAGCACTTTTCCTGACTTAATTAGGCTCTATACGTACACTCTGGTAACGAGGATTGGAAACCTCGGCTAACACCTTGCTATTTACTAAAATAAGAAAGAACTGTAATACAATTTGTGTATATATGTGTATATAGAGGTAGTTTCTTATTGGAAATTTTTGTGCTCATAAATCTACCCTGCTAAAACTTAAAAACTTCTAATATCCTTAAAAATATTTCTATACATCCTTCCAAAATACATTTTATGCAGTAAGTGACTTGGATGTTATTAGTATGAAGGGAGATTCTAACTTTTCATTAATGTTACTTATTAAAAGCCAACCATTACTTTAAAGTATTATTTTAACTGTAAACATACAATATATAAACATCTTTATATATATAAGCGGCCAAAGTGTGTGTCGCCGATAGTTTATTGTTGCCACTCGGAAAAATAAGTGCGGAAATTAACGTTTCCGCAGTTTTTAATTAATATCTCACCGATTAAGTCGTCGAAGAGAGAACGGTATCGATGGATACGGAGAATTTTTTGGAATTCGAGGATACGCGTCGCGAATTTCAACTCAGCGCCGTTCCGTTGTTATTCGAGAAAAAAGAATTTGGCACGTAGCCAAATCCCTCTAATGCGGAAAATCCAAGAAAGAAAGTGGAAAACGTAGGGAATAATTATTTTTAATTAATATCTCGGCTAATAAAACCGAAGAGTACGCGAATGGTCAAAATGGCGTGCCACGGACTTGCGGAATCCAACGGTGTGCTTCGCTAAGCCCGAGAGCCAGCCGCTTCGGAGGAGATGATATATATGTGGCTTAAGTGTCTGTTTGTCGCTGACAGTTTATTGGTTGCTTGCGTAAATGTACTAGCCAATGGGGTGAAGTTGCCACGGCACAGGGTTGCCGTTTCAATTGAGACGTTAACAACTTCCTATAAAACTTGACTTTGCTATGACCACCAATAAGTCTCAGGGTTAAAAGCTTAAGCGTGTTGGCATTTTTTTACCTGAGCTTGCATTTGGACACGGTCAACTTTATGTTGCCTGTTCAAGAGTTCGTGAAAGAACGGACGTAAAATTAAAAATATTGGTTGGTCCTCTGCAAGGCGAGCTTATAAATGATGGAAAGATCTACACAAGAAATGTTGTGTACAAAGAGATCTTTGACATGTGGATTAACATTTCATTATTTAACTCACCTTTATTGATTGAGCTAGCGGTGGGCTCTTAAGAAATGTACCGCCAGTGGTTTCCTTCATTGTACTCTACTTTAAGCAATTAAGCAAGTAGAAGGGGGAAACCCCGTGAGGCAATAACCAAAGGGGCGTCCTCGCCGCCTGCTCTGGATAATTCAGTTTGAATTAGCAGACACCTTTGGCCAAGTCATTTTAATTACAAAATATAATATCTAGAACAGCAGTCATTTCGTATGACCGCCGGGCTTTCTAGTACAATATAAGAGCATAAAAATTAATAATGTATAATGTATTTTGTGCATATGAATATGTTTCCAATATTATATCCGCGAATGAATTGAAAATACATATCTTTATATATATATAAAGTAAAAAGAAAAGAAAAATAATATCTATCTAGATCATTAGGAAAAACAATCCTTTTTGTGTTTAAGAAGGTGTTGACTGTGGACGCATCCAGGTGTGTGTCAACTGAGATTTGCCCTGGGGACCAACCTGCCCTTCTCAGTCCGATCACCATGTCTCTCGTAAAATCTTCTGTCCCTGTTGAGGACGGCGTGGCATTCTCTGCTATTACAAGCGTCCTCTGTGACAAGAACAAATTTTCTACGATGATTTCCCTAGCAGAAATAACGGCACGAAAATTGAATATTCTGTGGGTTTCTGCCCTTATATCTTCTTCAACTTACGGTGAGGAACTGCGCATTTCCCATCATTCGCAAAACTCGTTAACATGCGTCTTCCTTGAAATTTGCATAATTTTCGAACCACTCCTTCTTGGTGTTGCATTTTCAATATCGGGTAGTGTAAAAAGCTAATCGTAGTCCCCTGATATTATGTAATTCCTTTCTAAGAAGGAATTCCCCATGGTTGGCAACCCCTATGCTAATTCGACCCATGTTCAAACCCTAGCTTTCGTGGGTTTTCCCTTGGAACATCAGGGTTCAATAGGCATGTTAGCAGTGCTGCTATTTTACACATAAGCTGACAGGGTAAGCCCCAAGACGTTAGCAGTATTTAAATTTGATGAGCTGATTTCAGCTCACGCCAGTTAGGCGAAGAATGAAGTCAGCTGATTTGGGACAATTTGTCATTTAAATACAGAACTTGTACATATACATTTTTTTCAATGCAGTATAAATCTGTTCGAGGTAGTATAGATCTACAACTCTGTAGAGACAGTAGGTAATTTGAAAGCAGAAAAGATGAAAAATTAGTAACACCTTCGCCGGGAATCGAACCGTGGACCTTGTTGCCTCCTACGCGGCAATAAAAGTTATGTACAGCGCATTGTTTTCTGCGCAACTTCAGTTAGTTAAGATTCGAACTCCTAGCGTAGCATGCATGTTTTGATCCCGTATGGTCGGGAATTTATCATTTTCGATTTAGATTTTTAGTTATGTTACAGTCCACGAAATAAAATTGGTTGTTGTTGTTGTAAAGTTGTCTTTAGTATACAGTCTAACCAGCGACCTCAAAACATTGGTCGCGATCGGCCGAAGTTAATTAGAATAAAAAAATGGCTAATGAAGAATAAGAAATGTATTTTGGAAGGATGTATAAAAATATTTCTATACATCCTTCCAAAATACATTTTATGCAGTAAGTGACTTGGATGTTATTAGTATGAAGGGAGATTCTAACTTTTCATTAATGTTACTTATTAAAAGCCAACCATTACTTTAAAGTATTATTTTAACTGTAAACATACAATATATAAACATCTTTATATATATAAGCGGCCAAAGTGTGTGTCGCCGATAGTTTATTGTTGCCACTCGGAAAAATAAGTGCGGAAATTAACGTTTCCGCAGTTTTTAATTAATATCTCAACCGATTAAAGTCGTACGAAGAGGAGAACGGTATCGATGGATACGGAGAATTTTTTGGAATTCGAGGATACGCGTCACGAATTTCAACTCAGCGCCGTTCCGTTGTTATTCGAGAAAAAAAGAATTTGGCACGTAGCCAAATCCCTCTAATACGGAAAACCCAAGAAAGAAAGTGGAAAACGTAGGGGATAATTAGTTTTTAATTAATATCTCGGCTAATAAAACCGAAGAGGACGCGAATGGTCAAACTACGTTGAACAGAAACTACGTTGAACAGAAAACGTGGCTGTATTAAAGCGCAAATAACCAAATTAAAGTCGTCTGTCAGTGGAAAAAGTGATGATTTTGGTTTCGAACAAATAGAAGTATTGCAAGAAAAAGTGCACAAGTTAAATAAACAAATTGAGGAACTTCGCTTGGATTATTACAAGGTGTGCAATGATGAAGAAATATCAGACATCGAAGCAACCTTTGAAGAAATCGAGATGGATATTTACCAATGTGAGATAAGCCTGAAATGTCTTTATACTTCATTATGTAGTAAGAATGCAAATAATGAGTATGCAAATAATAGTATCCCAGAAACAAGAAGTAATTCATTGAATTATAAATTGCCTGAAATAATATTACCTAAATTTTCTGGTAATTTCGAAGACTGGAATTTATTTAAAAACCAATTTGTAGCTTTAATTTCATCTAATAGACAATTAACAGATTCTCAGAAATTGTTTTATTTACAATCTTGTTTAATTGGTAAAGCAGATACAAACAATAGATGATACATTTTCTTCCTTATTTAGGCACTCGAAGAAAGATATGATAATAAGAGACTGGTTGTAAATTCTCATATCAATGAATTACTTTCTATTGAAAAATAGTTCAGAAAACCTAAGATTTACCTCATTAATTGATAAAGTCAGAAACATTTAAGAGAATTAAAAGTTATGGAATTAAATATGGATAAATTAAGCGAAGCTTTGCTGATTAATATTATTCTCAATAAAATAGACAAGGAATCACGTAAGCAATTTGAAATGTCATTAAATAGTAATGATTTATGTGAATGGGATTCTTAGTTATCTAAAGACTAGTGGAACCGCGACACTGGAAGCACTTATCATCAGCAAATAATCCGGCAGATCTGATTTCTCGTGGTGCTTATCCTCATGAACTTGTGACATCTTCCTTGTGGTGGAATGGTCCTGAACAGAAAGAACTTATAGATGCTTCTTTATTTGAACTTGACAAAACTCTCATAGATTCTCCTTCTTATCAGGATGAACTTAAAAAACCTTTAGACGTTAATTTGAACTGCAATTTAATTGTTTTGAAATACCTTTTTTGAATTAACAAATAACTATGTTAAACTAATTAGAATCTTAGGTCTAATTACCTTCATCTGCTAATCACCTAATGTGGGCGGTCTCTTAACTCATGCCACAATTAATTATGAGTCTAAACATCAAATTTTATTGCCAAAAAATCATAAGCTTACCAAGCTAATATTTATTCCTTATCATTTAAAAAATTTTCATGCTGGTCCTCAAGCATTGTTACATTTTGTTAGGGAAAGGTTTTGGCCCATTGGTGGCAAGGACTTAGCTAGAAAAACAGTTCACGAATGCTTAATTTGTTTTCGTCATAAACCTATCATTTCAGATCAATTAATGGCCGATTTATCTCCTGAACGTGTAAATCCAAATCTAACCTTTCATAACACAGGGATAGATTTTGCAGCCTTTTCTAATCAAATATAGAAATCAAAGGAAAACGTAGTTTACACCATAAAGTTTATATAGCAATCTTTGTTTGCTTAGTTACAAAAAAATAGATTCATTTAAAAATAGTATTTGACTTAACATCTCAAGCCTTTATTGCATGTTTAAAGCGATTTTTTCTTGCGTAGAGGTAAAAGCTCATGTCTATTTAGTGACAATGCAACTAATTTTGTAGGAGCTCACAAAGAGTTAAAGAAACTTGCTTCTTTAGTTAGTGTCCCTGATGAAGTTTTGGGTAAGTATTTGGCATCTGAAAATATCTCTTGGAAATTCATTCCTCCTCGTGCCCCCAATTTTGGTGGAATTAGGGAAGGCATTTGGGAGGCAATCAAATAAATCTTTTTAAATCTTTTAAATTTCATCTTAAAAGAACTTTTTCTGATGCTAAACGTAACTCATGAAGAATTTTTAACCTATGAAGAATATTTTCACCGTAACCGATCAAATTGAAGGAATACTAAATTCGAGACCTCTTTCTCCTTTATCGTCTGAACCATTCAGATTACGAACCCTTGACGCCAGGTCACTTTTTAATAGGTAGACCCATAAACTCAATTGTAGAACCTCAAATTTTAGACTTGTCAGAAAGCAGATTGTCAAGATGGCAAAAATTAACTAAAATGATACAGATTATATGGAAACGATGGATAACTGACTATCTTAATCACTTGCAACAACGAAAGAAATGGTATTTTTCAAAGGACAATATAAAGAAAACTACAGTGGTTATTATTAAAGGATGATCAGTTACCTCCAATTTAAATGGTTACTAGGAGGAATTGATCAGACAATTCCTGGTAAAGATGGTAAGATACGAGTAGCAGTCATTAACACATGGTTTGGTCCAATTAAAAGGCAAATATCAAAAATTTGTTTATTGCCTATTGAGGATAACTTCAAGGATTAAGTTTCATTGTTAATAAAAATATTACATTGTTCTTTATTATACTTATATTTTGGTAATTTTGATGAAAAATTTTGAATATTTACTGTTTGAAATGTTAATATATTATTGAAAAATTTGCAAATGTTCAAACTTTATGGAATTTTCTGAATTGTTTATTTCATTCTGTAAATGATTTACTAACTTTAAGTCTGTATTATTGCTTAAAAATTAATAGCTGAATTGTTAGCATTTGATATTGAATTGTATGCTTAGATTTAGTTTGCATATCATAGATATTGCAACATGGAGCGTAGCATACATGTTTTGATCCCGCATGGTCGGGAATTTATCATTTTCGATTTAGACTTTTAGTTATGTTACAGTCCACGAAATAAAATTGGTTGTTGTTGTTGTAAAGTTGTCTTTAGTATACAGTCTAACCAGCGACCTCAAAACAGACCTCTCAATTACGCGCTGAGTGTGCGGACCACTACACTACGAAGGCTCGTTAAAAAGGAGGGAGAAATACCTTATAACTCAATGAAGTTAGTGAAATTAACTCTTTCAAATTGTGTTAATTAAGTTAAATGTGAAAAATAGGTGGATTTTCTCGTATGTGACGGGAATATGAACCAGTTTCTATTAGAAAGTTCTCAACAAAAGCATCAATTTCCTTAGACAGACTTGCGTGTTTTTGTCATAATGTAAATAGTCTGAAAGCTTCAGATTTGTAAATTCAAATTCTTCAGGATTTGCCTTTGAACTGCGAATTGACTTTAAGATTTTTCTTATTTTTCCTCTGTTAGCATCGTAGCAGAATATGACATATTTAATAATTAACACCATCTATAATTTAGGAAAATTCAGTGATAAATATTACGAAACGAATTTCAATGTCTTTACTCGGACGGTCTTGTGCGAATAAGACAGCATGTTAAAAGTACTGTTGTGGTAATATTTATTTAAAGTATTGAAAATACATGAAATATGTTCTAGTTTTGCGTCGAAATCAAATTGGATGACATGAAGTTATAATATCACTGCATATAATATATCATAATGACAACGTATTGCAAAAGATTATACTTTTCCATCTACAGGAAGTTAAAAACGTGTATTGTGAAGAGAGAGTTCTAAAAATAAAAATCTTTCTTACTCGTAATCACGAACAAATTCTCTATCTTTGAGAACATTTTTTGAACCATCCTTTTTGGGCAAATGATGGCTATGACCACTATGCCGTTCACTGGGTTTCTGGCATTTAGAAACATAAGACAGAGAAAGGATCGCAAGCGTGGAAAATATCACCTTGAAAGTCTGTCCCATTTTTCAGTTTTTCTCTGCTGTCTGCAGAATACTAGAAAAAAATTCAAAAATTTGTGAATCAGTTAGTGTGTTTTCATAAACATCACGTGTCCTTTGACAACCTTTCGTCTTTGATTTAAATTTGGAAACAAGTATAAGTACAACTCCGTTTCCGTGGACCGTCAAAAATCGCCAAACTATTATTGATGCCAGTGATGCTTAGTTAATTGTGGTAAGCCTAACACCACACAATTAACGAGTTTAATTAACGAGTCGTCACATAATTCACGAGTTCAATTTCGTTTTCGCAAGAAATAAAAATTATTTAAAGAAATGGATAAAAAGTCTGCAATTGATTATTTCAAACAAGAGCTTAATCAAAAATAAACAGTTGTGCTCGAAATATCATGAAATTAAATTGAGTTTTGAACAAAACGCCGTGAAATTAGGTTGCAGGAAAGGATCTTGCATTGAGAGAACAGGATGCTAAAGCAAATATGGTTTGAAACTTCCAACATATCTGTCCTCACAATTTGGAGGTTCATATATTTCTGGTGTAAGGAGATGACATCAATTCAATTTTTCGAATTATAACTTAAGATGAACCATAACACGGCTGTTGATTGGAACAGTTGCATGCAAGAGGTTTGCACAGCGGTTTAACAGCCAGCCATTAGTGAAAATCGGTAGAAGCCGCAAGGTTGTCAAAATTCCAAAACAGTGGGTTTGCGGTAGATCGTGCAGACTCCAATGGATGTTTTTTATTTGCAGTTCCTGATCGATCGGCGACAACTTTATTGGTTGTCATTAAGGAAAATGTTATGAAAGGGACAGTTGTTGTCATGTGTTCTTGGAAGGCATTTACATGAATCGAATGATCAGCGAGATGCCGGTTTTGAATATCTCACTGTGAACCACAAATTTTACTTTGTTGATACAGACAGTGGATGTCAGACCGAATGGTAAAGCGTCTGTGGGGAAGCACAAAATGGCGCAAAAACGGCATTGAGGCACAACTCGACAACACCTCGAACTCTTGAGTTTATGCGTCAACGAATTCATAAAAGATTATATTTTTTTTTCCGATGTTGGAAACTACTAAAATTTTATGCCTCCTCAATAAATAAGTAATTTATTTGGATCTAGATTTCGGATTTTCCTTACTTTATGTTTGTTGTTTAATTTGGCGAAAAAACTATAATCATTGCCAACTGTCCCCTGAAATGGAGTAATACGCAAGTGTATAACACTAGATCGTATTTCACACTTCACTGAAAAGGGTTGTTGACTTTCAAAGCACGTTGGATGTTTAATTTACTTTTACGCCATTATCGGAAATGCATAAACATTGCGAATATTTGAAGAGAACAAGACATATTAACCATATTTTCACTACGCTCCGGCACTGATCAAATGACCTTGATTCTAAATACTTGTTCTTCTCTCCTTCAAGGGCACCGTGATGTTGTACTTTATTTTTATCTTTTAGATTTTTGAACTTGCAGATACTCGATATCCATTATGAATTTCCATTACCATCGAAGATTTGCAGACACTCCGATGACTTTTCCATTGGAATTTGGACACACAGGATTTCTATCCTGTTGGACTCTGTAGAATGTTGTACTTTTGGCGGGAGATAAAAACAATTCACCTTCTTGTCATGGTCGAAAATACTGCTTCGTAGATGACTGGAAATTGCCTCATAGTGGAATGATCCGATGGAATTTTAGAAGAAGCACGACCAGCTTGATAGTTAAATATCATTTAGTTTTGGATGACGAATTTCTTAGCACATATCTTCATAACTGGTAGAAGATTAGGAGTGTTAAACGCTCCCCATAATTTTAGATAAAAGCGAATAGCTATCAGAAGCTGAGCGAAAAACTCTCAGCAAGCAGGTGAAAGAGACGAAAGATTACGCAGTTGCTATTTATACTAGGTACGTGCATAACTACGCGAGATATTTACATACATACGTAATGTATGGCACAAAAAAATCAGACATTAAGTAAAAATCCCTTCTGAATCCATTTTGAATCAATTTTTTAATCCGTTTGGGAAGAAAAAGACATTTTTTTTCTGTACGTACTTACAGATGTTACTCAAAAATATGGTTAAATTGCATTCGATAGAGGTCAAAATAGATATTTTCGTCGAAATATGATACTCGAAATTTTTCGTGATTACGATACCTTCCTTTACCTCGTACACACACACACACACACACACAAAAAAAAAAAAAAAAAAAAAGTGTAGTTGATCCTTGATTCTAGCTTTTATTAAGGAAGATAGAAAATTTACTGTAATAGTAAGTTCGATATCTTATATTTTCATAAATTTGAGGAATGTAAATAAATCATTTTAGTAATATATGCCTTAAAAAGAATTAATATTATTTTTTACGCTAATAACTGACTGCGTGTGTATACAAATATTTTAATATTTTTATCAAGTAACCTAAGTCTAAATAAAAGCTACCCAAACGTTTGCCCAAAATTAGCTTTTAGATAGTTCGTAATTTTCATATTATCGCTGTCTGTGATTAGTAGATTGAACTGTGTTCAGGATTTAGGTATAATTTAAATCAATTCTAATTTCTTCCATCAAGATTTCTCAAGCAAAACTTTAGTTGAATGCTTAAGTACTTCTTTACAGCAGTGAAGCCTGCCGCAAGAAAATAAGTACTATTCGCTTTCGAGGGCCGTAAAAAATCGCCAAACTATTGTTGATGCCAATGCTGCCAAAAATAACTGCGGCAACCCTAATAATTGCGGCAAGAAAGGAAGTATAATAGTAAATAACTATTTAAGATTAATGTTTTAATTTAGATGAAAGGTTAATTTCATGTAAAACTTTTTTATTATTATAATTTATATGAAACACGCTAAACATGACTGAATGGAAGCATAAGAGTAAATAATCTGATGTGTACACCACATGACTTCCTTGTACGGAATATTAAATTATACGCATTTTTTCTTGCATTTCACTTAAGCGTATTGGATTGAATTAAATCTACTTCGCCGACAGCGCATAGAATAAATGCATTCTTTAAAATTCCTTCTATTTGTTAATCATAGCGACATTCTGGCGCTAGGTCCACTTAACAGTATTATATTTCGTTCATATTATAACTCAGAATGCACAAAATTTACATCATTTAAAGAATTATCTAATCGTTGCCACATGTTCTATTCAAATACTACAATAAAGCTAGAACGATGTATAAAAGAAATTAAGCAAACAAAAAAAAAAAGAAACGGGTTTTCCGCACACGTTTGAGTATTTCTCATTCAATTAATTCAGTTCTCACTTCGCGACAAGGCAAAAATACATAAAAACTCAAAATATCTGTATTAAAATTACGAAGTAAATCTTAAACACTTATTTCCTCGAAAAAATTCCAGAAAGGATTAAGAATGATTTAATTCGCAATAATAAATGAAAGCGATACCTCACCATCAAGAAAATTATTAGGCTTAGCCGCACTTAAACAACTTTAAAATTGTTGATAATTCTAAAAATATTGCATAAAGATTTACTAAAGGCATAAAAACCTTAACCGGAAGATAAGAACAACATAATTCAATCATTTTTAAAGCAAAAAATGTACAATTTACAAACATATAAGAGTAAAGAAACTGAGATCACTGAGTCGGATAGCAGAGTGGATATATTTATAAATATATTTATATACGTTTGGCGCGGCCGATTGAAACCAAAATACGAGGTGCACATCTACATGTTATAGGAGTCCTATATACAAAATTTCAACGTTCTGAGGCTACTCGCTTTTGAGTTATACGATATACGTACATACGTTCGTACAGACGCCACGAAAAATTCTCTTCAGAATTCATTTTAAAGCAGTTTTATATTTTTTTTGGAGGAAACGAGTCTTTTATTCTGTTCTTACGTACAGATATCACGCGAAAACATCGTTAAATTGCAGTCGATAGCGGTCAAAATGTATATTTTCGTTGAAATATGCTGCCTGAAACTTTTCGCGATTACAATACTTCCTCTTTACTTCGTACAAGGAAGTAATAACTATTTCAGATCATTATTATAATTTATATAAAAATTGCTAAATATGACTGAATGGATGCCTGCATCGCTAATCGCTATTCAGCTACCGACGTATCGCTAAAGCATAATTTCACCTCGTTGGTTGTTCAAACGTAATTTTCTATAATAAACGATGCCTTTTCTTTGAAAATATTCTAGGTAAACTGCAGAATTGCGCACTTATTTGTTTGCCGCTTTTTACAAGGGTAAAAACAATTGGATTTTTGTAAATTTTCTTTTACTTTTTAAGTGAAAATAGTTCGGTGTGTACCTAAATAAAGTCAAGGGTGTGCGCAGTGCCATTTTTGTGCAATTCTAGGATTTTTTTTTAAGTGAAAATAGGTCGATGTGCACACGGATACCGAGTATGTGCAATTCTTAAAAACGCAACAAGCAGTGTGTGATTCTGCACTTTACCCAAAATTCTATTGTCGACTTTTCGTCACGGGCAATTCCCAAAGTGTTAAATCCATAGGATATCAAAAAAGCATTTAAAATAAAAAAAAAGTATTTAAAAATTAAACTAGTATTTCAATGGCTCTTAAGAAATATAGAACTATATAAACTTACGCAATCTGAAATCAGCGCGTAGGCTAGATTTAGCGCGCTGTTAAATTGGTGCATTTGGTAGATTTGGCGATTTTGCGCATACATTTTCGCTGCAGTTTTTTTTACGGCCTCGAAACCGAATAGTAACTAGCGTATATAATCTAGTTAAATAATAACTAGCGTAGTAATCTAGTTAAATAATAACTAACGTATTTTCTGTGCTTCTATTTTTCTTTTTATGAGCTTTTACTTACTGCTTCAATTAACTTATTCATTTTTAATACTGACTTTTTCATTTTTGATACTTATATTGACTTATTTATTTTTATTAATCTGATTTATTATTGAATATTATGGCATGTAAAAATCATAAAATATTTTACTTATCAAGAAAAAATATTACAAACTTACCTACTCTTGTCAGTTATCTTGTCTCCGTAATGATCCTACGTAAGTGAACGTTTCGTTGAATGTGTGAAAGTTCGTAGTGTTTATCTGAGAATCAAACCATCTGTTCTGAAGCAGATAATGTTTTCCAATAACAACAAAACATAGACATCAAAGTTGAGACTAGTAAGTACTTCCTTAAATGGGTTGCTACTACAGTTTAAGATTATTCAAGCCGAGTCTGTCACATATAAAATATTTGTCCAAATTTTCTTTTGCAAAAGAAATATTTATTTGTTATCGGAATCCTACAAGAAAAACTAGTTTGCATTTAATTTGACCCTAATGGATCTAAATTTTGAAATAAGTGAAAAAATTTCAACGAAAAGTTAGTAGTTTGATACTAAAACTTTAATCTAAAATTTTCTAATTTCCATTTCAAATTACTTTTCAATAATAAGTTATAAAAAGTTTTTCAATAATAAGTGTTTTTCAATATGGCAATAGTTTATTGAAGCGAAATTTGAACTGCGCCCTCTTTAGCGTCTGTGTTGTCGTTGGCGACTGTTTACGTGAAAGTTTATATGCCTATTTAGTTATGTTATTTTGTTGTGCGGTTGTCTGAGACATTCATTTATTTTATATCAAGTTTTTATTTTTCTTCTATACATCTGAGAGACAATGAGCAAAAAAATCAGCTACAAATCTGGAGATCTTGTATTTGCTAAAGTGAGGGGATATCCGCCTTGGCCAGCGAGGGTAAATACTTTTTATTTGGAATACCGGTATTATGTTAATAAGGTGCTAGCTAATAATTTTTATATAAATTAAATTTTTATTTTAACATTTTCATTATTTGTTACGATTAAAATTTTGATAATGGCTTTTGGGTAATTGATTTTAGAAGGAAGAATTTCAGATTTTTCATGTATAATAAATTTTGAAATCTTATTTTCTGTTACTCTTCTGAAGTCGTTAAATTAACACATAAATTCTGTATATGCATTTAAAACATATTTATATATTCTAAAATTTATGATGTTAAGCTTATTATTTAATTTTGGAAATTTCATGAGAATGTTGCATGTGAGTTAAGTAAGAGTTGATCGCTTGCTGTAATGTATAATTTCGTAATAAAGGAGTCGATTAATAGTTTTTAATTTTTATTAGTTTAATTGGAAGCATTTATTTAGAAATTTTAAACTTTGAAGTTGAACTTTTAAATATAAGGCGTAAAATCTAGTCTTAATTATACTTTACATGTGATGAAAATGGCTAAAATTTTTAGCTTTATGAGTGAAAGATATTTGGAAAATCGATTCAGTTTAAAAGTTGCAGAATAATGTATTAATAGCAATCTTGAGATTTTTCTAAATATAGTAATTGCAAAACTGCTAGATAAAAGAAAAATATAAGTTTTATATTTATTGCTTTCAAATGACATAACAGACTGCTAGAACATCTAAGTTAGGGCAATGTAACTTGTATTGTATATCAATAATATTCTATTGCATACATGCAAAATAATATCCTATTTCTAAATTTAGATGTTATATTAAGTGCAATAAGTACTTTTTTCCTCTCTCTAATGTCAAATCTGAAGACTTATGAGGCTGATTTTTGGCAAAATGGTGGTTATAGTTAAAGAATTTTCAGGTCTTCTTCATATACTGCTTTGCAATAAATCTTCAGTTTTCACGAATTTTAACTATTTATGAAAATAAAATCTGATTTTCTATATACTAATATGAATGTCTGTTTTATGGACAGTATTAATCTGTGTGTTAAGTATAAGTGTTTGGGCAGGAAATTGATAAATTAGCTAATTTTCTAGACTTAAATCTGATATAAAAATCTGAATTTGCTAAGGAAAGCAACATATTTTATATGTGTGACCTTTATATATATATATATATATATGTATGCGTGTATAAAGAAGTTTAAAAACCTTAATTTTTTATGAGCTTCTTATTAAATTGCTTATACTTTTCAGTAAATAAGTTTATGTATTTTTGTTATTGATGAGTGCGGTTGTAAACTTAGTAGATTAGAAAATATTTAAGCTAAATTTTCTTTGATGCAGTAATTTTCAGGTTATAAAATTAAATGTTATTATAATATTTTCGTTACTTTACTGATAGGAAGACTGGGTTCAGAAATGAATGAATAAATGCATACGTTCATGTATACATGTATATGTTACTGTAAAAGCCTGAAGTCTGGTAAATCCTAGGTTTTACTAATAAAACCGAGCTTTTACTAAAATGGCGTGGTAAAAGTCTGAAGTATGATTTAATATGATTCCATTTCGGGCTTTTACCAAGCCTTTGCAGTAGATCCTAGGAGTTACTATACCTTCTGAAAAAAGCCCGAAACAAGGGATAACTTATGATAGGATTTTCCATTCACAGATATATTGTATACAGTGTGTCCCTAAAAGGTTAAAACACAATTTAATTTTTTAACTGATAATATAAATTCTAAAAATGATCAAAATGAGATATGATTTAAGATTATGTCGATGAACAGTTTTACAAATATTTTTCAGAGTTGCAAGAAATAAAAATAAAAAAATGCGATATTTATGCCATTTGTGTAAATAAAATCCCGAAAATTAAGTTGATAGCTCAGAAAAAAAAAAAAAAAAAAACACAGAATTTTAAAAATAAGAAAAATATAGTGAATTTTTCGGTAAAAATTTACTCAACGGTACCCCCTTGGCAAATCGTTTCTTTTTGATGCCAAGATCAGTGCCAAAAAAAGATTGTGTCGATAGAACAATCTTACAAGTATTTTTCAGAGTTACAAGAAATAAAAATAAAAAAATGTGATATTTATGCCATTTCACAAATAAAATCCCAAAAATTAAGTTGATAGCTCAGGAAAAAAAAAAAAAAAAAAAAATTACGGAATTTAAAAAATAAGAAAAATATAGTACATTTTTCGGTAAAAATTTACTCTACGGTACCCCTTGGCGAATCGTTTCTTTTTGATGCCAAGATCAGTGCCAGGAAAAATCGGCACCGATTTCAGGATGGCTGCTATACAAAACCAAAATAAGAAGTCAAAGACTTAGATAAACTCGCTGTCCATGTACGCATCGACCTATTTTAACTTGAAAAAATCAGAGAAATGCACAAACTAGGCACTGTGCACTGCCTTAACATTATCTGTGTACACTTCGATCTATTTTCACTTAAACAAATGAGGAAGCTGAAACAAAGTTAAAACTATCATGGTAACCAGAAAAAAAAAAAAAAATCGCCACTGTCTTAACACACATAGAGGAAGAAATAACCAAAAATACATATTTCCTAACATAAAAACATTAAACAACAAATCTTTTAACAAAAATTAACACACAGAGATGAATAAATAAATGAAACATAAATTTTTTTCATGGGTGTACGTTTAGGCTTCCTACCACGATCTCCTCCATTCTCCAGGTAAGCAATTCAGTTAAATTTTTCATCATTTCGGCTCATTCATATCTATTGGTAATTAAACCAGCTTTCATGCAAAAATCAAATGTCTTTCGTCCATCATCAAACCCATACAAAAACCTCAAATTCACAATTTCATTACAATCTAACCTATGAACATTCGTCCTCTTATTCACCTCAAACATACTCAAACGATGGTACCTACAGCAAAATAATAGCAATTTCAGGTTGATCTTTACATTATGGTAACTTGGCGTTTTTTGGCGAAAATTTGGCGACCAACTCGCTTACAGCAATCCTCTATTTTTTTTTCCCGCCGCCATTTTGTCTTCACGAAGTAAAGACATGTTACTTTTCTTTTTATCTACTGAACACTTCTTCCAACAATCTACTAGCCGAATTACACTTATGCTAGAAATTTTATCTAACAAAACTGCTTATTCATGACAAATATTCACTGCAAAATTGGGAAAAAGTGCACAATACCATACTCCTTATGCGTTTTTCAAAATAACACATACACATAAACCATATACACGCTGACTTATTTTTACTTAAAAAAAACAACCCAGAATTGCACAAAAATGGCATTGCGCACACTCTTCACTATATCCATGTACACTGCTTTTTTCTCATAAATTAGAAAAATTTCACGAAAATACATGACAATTTTCTCAATCTTTAAACCCGGTAAAAAGAACATATATGAAATTACCTGATCGCGGAAAAGTATTTACCCTTTCCAAATATGAACATTTCCACATATAAAATAAATAAAATATCCAAAAACATTTACCTCTAAATCATCTATTACATTATACACGTCGCCAACGAATTCATACCGCAAGCATTACAAATACTTAGTATCAAATATTTAAATTATTTCCATGCACGTTTACTTCAACTTAAACGTGTACCAAATTCCTACAAACATAAAATTCACAAAATAACTATCATTTAATTAAAATATGTACACTAAACCATGTACACGCCGACTTATTTTTACTTAAAAAAACATCCCAGAATTGCACAAAAATGGCATTGCGCACACTCTTCGCTTTATCCATGTACACTGCTTTTTTCTCATAAATTAGAAAAATTTCACGAAAATACATGACAATTTTCTCAATCTTTAAACCCGGTAAAAAGAACATATATAAATTACCTGATCACGAAAAAGTAATGAACATTTCCACATATAAAATAAATAAAATATCCAAAAACTTTTACCTCTAAATCATCTATTACATTATACACGTCACCAACGAATTCATATCGCAACCATTACAAATACTTAGTGTCAGATATTTAAATTATTTCCATGCACGTTTACTTCAACTAAAACATATACCAAATTCCTACAAACATAAAATTCACAAAATAACTATCATTTAATTAAAATATAATTAAATTCAGAAACACTACTTAAAATATAAATGAGCACATACATTAAATTAATACATACATAAATACCCATTTCGAATTCACTTTAGTTACGGCCATGGGATCCAAAATTCACGAACACTGTTTCACACAACACAGAATAAAGCCAATAACAAATTTCCAGATTTTTTCCCGATTTCCCCCCTTTTCCGATTAAAGAACCGTAATTCGTCCATTAATATCACATGACATATCCCATGATCTCTCATTTCCCTCACACAAAATAATGCGTAATTGGAACTGAGTACTGCTCACATTATTACCAAAGTGCCAGTAACCTTTATCGCCTCCAAAATGTCGCCAAACTACCAGTTACCATATTGTAAAGATCAACCCAATTTCAAAATACAAGACCATATCACGCACGTGCAACCAAACACAGCAACTGAAAAAGAATAGTAAGAACCCAAAACCCGGGTTCATACGAAAGGGTTACTATTACAAAAAATAACCAAAATCTAAATTTATTGGCAGTTTTTGGATAACCGGCTCTTGCCGATTTGTTGACGTATCGGAAGAGAGTGCGTCTGTGCCACATTATGATAACCTTGACAAGCGCTGTAACCCTGCAACTCTCACTGGGAATTTTCCTGAAAAACGAAAAGGGATATTTTCTGTTTACATAGATTTACAGAACGTTATGGTAAGACAAAATAAAAGTTGGAAAATCGCATATCATAATTAGTTCATGTTTTCGCAAATCGTTATTCAGAGTTAATTTCAGTTGAAAAACTAAAGCTCTATTCTATTTACGGAACGTTATGGAAAGACAAAATAAAAGTTTAAAATCGCAAATCATAATTAGTTTATGTTTTTGCAAATCGTTATCGGGAGTTCATTTCAATTGAAAAAAATAAGAGTTCTGTTCTATTT